AAACCAACTAATAGGTTTACAGAGGCAGTAAATCACACAGGAGGAGACTGCCCATATTTCTCCCGTGGAGGACCTGGTCAATCCAAGCCATGTGTCTTTTGAGTTGCTAGCACAACTCCTTACCGCTAAGCCTCCAGAGCTCCCTAAATGGCATATGGCAATGTCTAAATCTGTTGCCAAAGACTCCTTTAAAGGGTGAGAATATTACTTTAAAGACTAAGGTGTGTGCCTGGCCCAAGTCATGGTAATTACATATAACTGTGAATGTTAGACAATGAGTAAGGGAGACCAAAGAAGAATTGATGCTCCTTGAATTGGAATATCGCCAAAAAAGTATTGAATATAAAAGAACAAACAAATTGTATTGGAAGAAGTGGCAGAGTGCTTCTTAGAAGCATGGGTCATGAGCCTTTATTTACTATATTTTGGGCTTATTGTCAGAAGGGGCCAGTCCATCGAGGAGGACATCGTGCTTGGAAAAGTAGAGGGATCAGCTCTCAGTGAAGTAGAGGGAGGCTCTCAGTGAAAAAGCTTGATGCAGAGACTACAGCAGTGAATTTAGCACAGCACAGATGATGAGGTTGGTGCAGGATTGGGCAGGGTCCTGTTGTTTTTCATAGATCACTGTAAGTCCCAGGCAGCTTGATAATCAACCAACAGTTGATAAAGACAGTGTTCTGAAACTTCCTTAGTTATTGACTAGCCTCTGGGGTCTGAATAGCTTGGAAGTGGCCACTGAAAAGACTACTGGTCTCTTCTTCTCTCCAGCAAAGATGAAATGAAAGAAGCAGAAAATTCAAGGAATAGATTAATCTTCATGACTAATGGTTCATATGAACCATACTCAGCCTCTTCTGAGACCAGAGCTATATTCTGCCCAGTTTCCACCACCAAACTGTTCTAACCAGGAACACAGTAGAGTCCTGGTTAGAATGAGAGAAAAATAGGGACCAGAGGCAAAGTTGTAAAAAAAAAAAAAAAAAGACCAGACTTACTATACTGATAAAGACTAGAGAAATCTAGCTATTGCCCTACAATATTCTTTTAACCTGGAACTGAAGCCACTCAGAGATCACCTTTCACCCAAATACAGATGGGCCTATAAAATGCACAGTAGCGCTCATGAGGAATATGCTGCTTTAATCACTTGTACAAGACCAACTGGTCAACATTTATCTAAAAGCATAGCTGAAAAGGCAGGGAGGGGCAAAAACTAGAGGATGGGAACTCGACAGGTGAGATGGAAATGTAAGTGCTGCTGGCGTTTTTCAGGGATTGTTTAATGGGAGTCTGATTTGCTTTCCAAGACGAAAACAAGATTGTTTATTGGAAATCTAATTTGCTTCACAAGAAAGGTGATCCAACAGAATGTGGGAACTGTCAAGCAATATGATTAATATCACAAGCAAGCAAAATACTACTGATGATCATTCAAAACAGGCTAGAACATAGAGAACTATAAGAAGTTCAAGCAGGGTTTAGAAGAGGACATAGCACTAGGGATATCATTACTGATGTGAGATAGATCTTGGCTGAAGTAGAGAATACCAGAAGAATGTCTCTTTGTGCTTTATTGACTATGCAGAGGCATTTGACTGTGGGTCATAACAAGTTGTGGCTGACATGGAGGAGAATGGGAGTCCCAGAACACTTGATTGGGCTCATGCAAAACCTGTACCAAGACCAGGCTGTTGTGCCAACAGAGCAAAGGAATACTGCATGGTTTAAAATTAAGAAGGTAGCATGTCAGAGTTGTATTCTCTCTCTCCATACCTATTCAATCTGTATGCTGAGCAAAGCATTCGAGAATCTGGACTTTATGAAGAGAAATGTGGCATCATAATTGGAAGGAGACTCATCAATAACCTGTGTTACGCAGATGACACAACCTTGTTTGCTGAAAGTGAGGAGGACTTGAAGCTCTGGTTGCAGAAGGTCAAGGAATACAGCCTTCAATACAGATTGCATCTCAGTGTCAAGACAACAAAGATTCTTATTATTGGACGGATAGGCAGCATCGTAATAGATGGAAAAGAGACTGAAACTGTCAACAACTTCATCTTACTTGGATCCACAATTAACACCCTTGGTACCAGCAGTCAGAAAACAAGGAGACACATTGCACTGTTAGGGACAGTTATTATTGAGGAATCATTATGTCAGTTTGAGGACTAAGGTGCGTCTGACTCAGGCCATGGTCTTTCTGATCACTTGTTAGGCATCTGAGAGCTGGACAATGAATAGGGATAACTTAAAAATTATTTATACCTTTGAGCTGTGATGTTGGAGAAGAGCACTGAACATCCCATGGACAACTACAAGAACAAACATATATGTCTTGGAGGTGGTGCAGCCAGAGTGCTCTTTGGAGGCAAGGAGGAAGAGGCTTTGCCTCACTTCAGGAATGTTGCTAGGAGGGGCTATTCCTTGTAGAGGGGCATGATGCTGGGATGGGCGGAAGGTTGTTGAAGGAGAGAAAGACCCTCACCAGGTGGATTAACACAGGGATTGCTGGAATGTGCTGTAGTGTGTCAGGAAGTATGAAGATAGCACAGGACAGGACAGGATTCAGATCCATTGTTCATAGAGTCACTATGAATTCTGCTCGACTCAATAGCGCCTAACAACAACAAATTTGCAACTTTTACTAGCACATGATGAAAATATCTTAAAAAGAGAGAGGGAGGAAAAATGATGTATTTTCCTTCTTTATTTCATTTTAGTTTAGTGTGGTTTATTTTGGGTTGTCAGAGGTTTTTTTAACCTTTTGTTTCCCTAAGGAATTTCTTTCTCCTAATTACAATTATCATAAATTAGAGCAGAGCAAGAATGTTCTCAACCTGTGAAGATAAGGTTGTAAATCAGTACAGAACTTGGCTAACACTCTCTGGGGTACTTCTGCATGCAGCAGCTGTGGCTGGTCTGTCTGGCAGGTTTCCCTTATAAGCACCTTGGATAATAGAAAAAGATACCAGGAGAGATCCTTTAAGCTTTGAGTTGAAATATTTGTGCCCTCAGCCAGTATCCCACAACCAAAGAGGCCAAGAGAATTTAGAGCCTGTGAATCTTTTATGGTTTTGCAGTGGGAAAGGATTAATATTTAGTCATGTTAGGGGCAAACAGTGGGAAACAAATGGAGAACTTAGGAAAGATGATGCATGTATGCAGGGTAAAATAATTGGGCATGGAAATTAAAGAGATTTTTATACAGCATGGAAATGGCCTAATCTGCATGCTGGACATCTTGGTTGGCCCTGTTGGAACAGTTGTTGAAAATGTGATGCCTTCTCTTTGAGATCCCATGTGCTGGTCAGCTTATTTTCCATCTGGCAAGACTGCTGCTGCAGGACTCGGGGTGATGGGGAATGTATGTTCATGTCCTAGATCCTCAGAATCCATCTTAAAGGTGCATGAGGATATTCTGTTGTTATTAGGTGCCACTGAGTCCAATCTATCTCATAGCAACTCTTGTGTTCAACAGAACAAAACACTCTCTGGTCCTATGTCACCCTCTCTGTCATTGCTACGTCTGAGCCCACCATTGCACTAATTGTGTCAGCCCAGTTGCACAGCTTTCTAAGGTTTCCGCTGATTGCCTGATTTTGGAACTGGATAACCATTTCTTTCTTGCTAGTTTGTGTTAATATGGGAAGCTCTGCTGGAACCGGTCCACTCTGGGTGACCCTGCTGGTATTTGAAATACCTTGGCATAGCTTCCAAGCATTTCAGCAACACACAAACCATCCCTGACAGGTGAAGAATCTGACTACACATATGAAAATCCTCTTAAGGCCTTTCCCAGAAAGATTCTTAACATTTAGTTTTAACTTTATAAATGGATATCAGAATGAAAGCTAACGTTATGGGTTACTTATATTGCAGGATAAAATGTTATTTCATTACTATTTTAAGTATAAAGTCGAAGCATATTCAGCTAATAGAATTGACAAATAAATGCAGTTCTCACTCCCTCACTCGTTGCCATCAAGTAAGAACTGACTCAGAGCTCACCTTCCGTTGGGTTTTCCAAAGCCATAAACTACACAGGAGGAGATTGCTCATCTTTCTCCCCTGGAGCAACTTCTTGTTGTTGTTATGTGCTGCCGAGTCACTTGCGACTCATAGTGACCTTATATAGAACAGCCCTAACCCCTGCTCTGTCCTGTGCTAATATCACTGTCTCCGACACACCTACCCCTATTCCCCCAGTCACAAGTGACTTACCCAATCCACTTCATAGAGGGTCTTCCTCTCTTGCGCTGTCCCTCCACCCTCCCAAGCATGACGTCCCTCTCCAAGGATCAGTCCCTCCTTACATGTCCAAAGTCTATCAGACGAAGCCTCAGAATCCTTGCCTCCAAGGAGCAGCCTGGCTTCACCCTCTCCAGGATGATCCTGTTTGTTCTCTTAGCAGTCCATGGTACCCTCAATACTCTTCTCCAAATTAAAATTCAGTTTGATAGGATTGCTAAATTAAGCAAAATTATAAACACTGGTTATGTTACCATATAGAATTACACAGTTTATAAGAGTGGAACAGTCTCAGTGCTGAAGTAACTAGTTTATTCCTTCTTTCATTTAAGTCTAAAGTACAGGAAAGACAAATTGATAGTGTTATATGCACATCTAAATACGTTGTGCACAATTTTAAATAAAAATAAGACAGGAAAGAGTTCTATCTATCTATATTTTTTGTCTATGTGAATAGTTTAAACAATAACCTAACTCTGCCTTCTTAAAGCACTTGGTAGTCTTGGTGTGTAGCTGCTTTGTTTTTGCAGGATTATTCTTCTCAATATAAGCCACCCAAGCAGTGTGATCAAATGTGAATAGATACCTCTTAGTCTGTTATTTAAGGTTTTCACCTTAGCGTTCTTGTTGATCTATGCTTTTGAGTCAGTTTTTTATTTATATTGATCCCATTGTGACAGTAGAACTGTCTCCTAGGGTTTCCGAGGCTGAAATCTAACTCATAATTATCATTTTGGTGTTCTCTGCAGAGTCCTAATAGTATTGGCTTTGGGAAAGAGAGTGAAAGATCCATGGCAATGACCAAATCAACAAGAAATGACATTCCTTCTACTCAGGAGAATCTGGTCAAGTGGGCTTTGGACAATGGCTATAGTCCAGTAACATCCTATACCATGGCTCCTGTGGCTAATAGATTTCACCTTCGCCTTGAAAACAATGGTAAGTATGATTTTTAAAATTATGTTTCAAAGGCAGATTTCTTTTTCAGTGCTAGTCTTCTGTTGCACATTTTAAAATTATCTGTAATTACAGATAATTTTTTGAAAATGTCTTATATTTATTTTCACTAAGCTAGAGCTGTTAGTTGGAGCACATTATTACAAACAGAACTCAGTCACCTAAATTATGTATACTGCATTTAAACATGAGGGAGAGAACAGTTTAAAAGCAATATATGATAGGGTATTATGGTTATCACAAGAGTCCAGAATTAAGGTTGCATAGTGGAGTGTACTTGGGGCAGAGCGGGGGTATTGTATACCAATGAAGAAATTTTTCTTTTACTTTCCAAAGAGATGAGTGAACTGGGGGTGGGGGAGGGTGGGCAGGGAAAAAAGTGCAACAATGAATGAATGGAAATCCAAAATCTCTGTAAATATTCATTAAAATTAATAAAAACAACAATAACAACAACAAAAAAAACCTCAGTCATCTTCACTGTGACTACATTAAGAATAAATTCAATCTGTATTTCCTTTCAAGGAGGAAGGCCCATTCCTTCCTTCAAGACGCAACTTTCTAATCTATCTTTACTTTTTAACTTCAAAAAATATTAAAGAATAAATTAAATATGTCCTTTCTCATAATACGCATCAAATGACTGCTTATGGCTGAATGGCTGAAAAAGTAAAGAAGGTGGAACTATAGGCATTTTAGTCAGAGGCTTTGTAGGAAAATAGTCCCAGAGGGTCAGTCTTACTCTTTCTTATTCTCACATAGAGAGAAAAAAGGGATTATTACCTTGGTTTGGTGGAACAAATAACTTAGGCCCAACAAATTATTTCCGTTTTTCCAGAGTCATGGCTAGCCAAGTTTGAGCCCCAAAGGTTTGGATCCCCCATCCTGTTCTTCACCTCACAGACTGTGTTGAGTGCGCCATTGGTAGAATGGTGCAAGCCTACCTTTGCCATTCTGAGATGTCAGGGTGTCCAGATATCTGGTAGAACTTAACCCATAAGAGAGAAGCAAGATGGTTTAAAAATATCTGTGCTGTTGTTTTTTAGTACCATTAAGTCAGAACCAACTCATAGCTAATCCTCCAGCAGGCTTACAGAGGCAGTAAAATGCATGGAAAGAGACTGCCTGTCTTTTTCCTGTGGAGCAGCTGGTGGATTCAAACTGCATACCTTTGGGTTGGCAGCACAGTTCTTTACCATACCCTTATGGTCACAATAGCTCTTTAAAGAAGTTATTCTAATGCTCATCTAGATGATAACATAATTATGATAAAAACAAAAGGGGGGAATATGGGAAGCCAATACTAAATATTTTTAATAAACTGAATGCTATTTAAATTAAAAAATATTTAAAAAATCTGAAGAAAAAAATAAATTATTCTAAAAAATCTCTAGAAGCCTTTCCTTCGCATTTGAATGCAATAACATAGTTGTACATAGATTATTTGGGTTCTAGATATAATAGCCTATAGGTCTCAGACATTACTTAATCCAGTGTTTCTCAACCTTAGTTAAATATTGGGACCACATGGGGAACTTAATAACTGGGTCAGAGGCTCAGATTTTCATATGTCCTAGGTTGCTGCTTGAGCATTGAAGTTGTTTTTTTTTAAACAATTCCTTAGGTGAGCTTTAATATGCAGCTGAAGTTGAGAATCCCGTAATTTTTAAAAGGAGGGAGCAAAGGCACAGATTAGATACCATTTGTCTAATGTCACTCAGCTAATTATGGAAAACAGCAGGACCCTAGAATTCAGGGTTCTAGACTCCTGACCTCTTATATATATGTTGTTTATTAAACGTTATTTTATGCACGCCCATTTTATTGCTTAAGGTGCCCTAGTAGCGTAGTTGGTTAAATGTTGAGCTACAAACCTGAAGGTTGGAAGTTTGAACACACGAGCCACCCTCAGGCAGGAAGATGAAGCCGTGTGCTCCCATTAAGATTTACAGCCTTAAACACTTGAGTACAATCACCAGAAGTCCAGCTTGACTTGGACCAAATACAACTTCACTGCCCTTGAATTGATTCCGACTCGTGATCATCCACTCTCTTCCAAGGCTGAACATCTCAGTGGGAATAGACTGCCCAACTTTCTCCTATAGAGCAGCTGGTTGGTTTGAACAGCTGGCCTTTCAATTAGCCGCTCAACACAAACCCACAAGGTCACCAGGGCTTCTTTATTTATTCTGTTTTTATATTTGTAGCATCATCAAACACTAATGATACTTTGCCTTTCCTTTTTCCTCCAGAGGAGATGAGAGATGAAGAAGTCCATACTATCCCCCCTGAGCTAAAAATCCTCCAGGGCCACAGCATGCTGCCTGCCATGGAGAAGCCACCCATCCGCGGAGGGGGCGAACGTGATAGAGACTTTCTCTTTCATTTCCCTGACATCTCCCGGAGAGGCCGAAAGGAAGGGGAGGATGGGATCCCCTGGCCGAAGGACCCCATCCATCCCAGCATACAACTGTTCCCTGATCTCAGAGAGCCAGAAGAGGTGCAAGGGAGCAAGGATATTGCCCTGTCAGTCAAATGTGACAAGGAAAAGATGATGGTGGCTATAGAAAAAGATTCTTTTCAGGTCAGTGCAGTTTCTTACAGGAGAGTGGGCCACCTCTCTTTCCTTTTGTCCCAGTCTTTGTTGGTGGTTTCCATCTAGGTCTGTCACTTTTGAACTCTGGACACTTGATACTGTTTTCTCAGTTGGATGGGTCCACTTCCTTTGGCTGCATTTCTCACTCAGTTCCTGTTGTTCTCAGTTGGGGGGTAAGGAAGGGGGAGCTGATTCTTATGTGTCACTATTTTGCTACTGAATATTCAAGGCCAAAACACTCAGTCCTTGGGATTTTGAGAAGTAGTAGACCAGGTAGAGGCAGGTTGGGGAAGGGGCCTGTCAGTCACAAGCAGCCTTTCCTCAGAAGACCAGGTGAAACTGGCTGTGGGGCCCCCTGTTAAGTCTTATATGGTTGTTGTTTCAGGCCAGCAGCCACTCGGGGATCGAGCTCACTCTATTGGATCCTACCTGCAAGGCCAAGATGAATGGCACCCACTTTGTATTGGAGTCTCCCCTGAATGGCTGTGGCACTCAGCACCAGATGTCAGCCACTAATGGCATTGTTTACTACAACTCTGTGAGTGTTTTACAGAACAAAGATTTGCCCTTTGCCAGCACCTTGCTTACTTCTGTCACTTACCTTCATTTCTTCAACGGTCACATTTTCTTTGAAAACAGAAGGGATGTATCACAGCTCTAGAGAAAAGAGTCACTTCTCAGATTCTGAAATCTTGCATTATTTCCTATATTGTTGGCGAATCTGGAGACTCCACTCTCTTAGCTCAGGCATGTGTGGTGACCTCTTCTAGCACCTCTTTCCAACTCCTTTCAGAACTGAATTCAGCAAAGAGTTCACTGGCAAGATGATTATAATCTCTTTTTATGGCTAAGCTGCAGGGTCAAATGGCCTGGTCTTTGTGGAGATAAAGGGCCTTGGGCTACAGTTGAGCATGTCTGCCAGCTGAGCTGACCAGACATGTGATCTCTCTGGCCTCATTTAAGTCTTGTCCAGAAGTGTGAACCCTCTCCCTCCAAAAGAGAAAAAGCCAAAATACATTTTGTTCAAAAGTAGGAGTACCTCCAACAGAGAGAAATCTGAAAGGGGACTTTAAAAAAATTATTAATCTATTGTTACTAACCTCCCTCCCTCTCTCTCCACCTCTAAGTTGTTGTTCTTGAGTCACGTTGGCCCATAGCTGACCCTTGGGCGGGTTTTCAGAGGCATTAAATTACAAGGGAGGAGATTTTCCATCTTTCTCCCATGGAGCAGCTGATGGATTCTGATTGTGTGCCTTGTGATTGGTCCCACAGCTCCTTAACCTTAAATGGGAATTACCTGGAAAAAGACTCTTGTACATTTCCCTAGATAATCCATTGTGATAGCTAACCTCACTTTCTGGAAATCATTCTTGTCAATTCCTCTAAATCTGTTTTACTTGGAATAAATCCATTCTCTTAGAGACAGAAACTAGGCAGTGGACATTAAAAGAATATATAAAAAAAAAACAACAACAGCAAACCCAACCCAGCAAACTTTACAGTATTAATTTTTCAGTTTGCAGTGTTAATTTTGAGTGTCCAAGTGAAGCTCAGAAATCTCTCATTTCTGCTTTGGCAGGATACGAATGTGCCTGCTCTCGTTGCTTGTTGAAGGGTGTGGTGCTGCTAGCTCTTTAATCTCACTTTGCTGTGAGGGGGCAGCTGCCAGCTGCTAACCACTGCTAGTTGACAGATGCACTTGACCTAATCCAGAGAAGAGACTGGCAATCAGGGTTCATGTGGGGACTGGCTCTCCTGTGAGCCAAGTTTCTTGCTCCTCAGAGAATCTTAGAATATTTGAGCTGGAAAGAACCCTAAAATGATCTCATCCAACTTCCTCATTTCACAGGTGAGGAAATTGAACTCCAGGGAGTTAAGAAACTTGCTTGGATTCAAGGGACTAGTTAATGGCAGAGTAAGGATTGGATCCAACCTCCTGACACCAGACTGGCACAGTTAATCTCTCTGTTACCTGGATATACTATTAACCTTTGACTTCTGTGAAAAATACTCTTCTGCCAATTACAACACGAACTTTCTTACTATTATCCAGGTTTTCCTACAATCATCCACTCCTTCCAGATAAAATTAATGACATATAGTGGTAAGGAGATGTGCTGCCAACCCAGAGAGACATGGTTCAAATCTACCAACTGCTCCACAGGAGAAAGATAGGCAGTCTCCTTGCATGCAGTTTATTGCCTCAGAGAACTCGCTGGTCACCAGATGCTCTGCTGGAGAAGGAGAGGCAATCTCCTCCTGTACCAGTCAGATCTGATTTGATGGTACACACAAAAAATAGATTAAAAAAATGAAAACTCGCTGGAGAGTCAGTTATGAGTCAGTTCTGACTGCAATACACAACAACAATAACACAAATGTACTAGATTTGAACATTTTAAACTGCTAACTAAATCAATACCCTTAAGTTGTTATATGCCTTCACGTCAGAACCAACCCACAGCTAACTCTCCCATGGGTTTTCAGAGCGAGTTAATTGCATGGGAAGAGATTGCCCATCTTTCTCCCATGAACAGCTGGTGGAATCAAAGCACATGCCTTTGGGATTGCAGTGCATCTTCTTACCACTAGGCTGCCAGAACACCAATAAGAGATGCTAGTAATTTGCATGTTTATTTAAATAAGAAAAGTATTGCCTCAGGAGAGAGATACATTATTGTTGTTATGTGCTGTTGAGTCACCTCCTCTTTGTGTTTTGTTATTTCCCAGCATATCCCTTTATCCTAGATGCTTGCTTTCTTTGCATCAGCACTTTTCTTTTGAGGACATGGAGAGGAACAGAGAGAGAGCATTCTTTAAGTCTATTCCCATTCTAATGCTTCAGGGACTGTTTTTAGCCACATGCTCCAACTATGCTTGTTATAGTTATTCTTAGACTTACTACATGTTTTTGTTTTACAACATGTTCAAAAAAGAGAAAAAATATGACTACCTTCAGGAGTTCCTTAGAGCTGTCCTATAAATGTAGAAAGATTAAGATTATATTTATGATATTTTGGTTAAAGTTTTTCATTCCAGGATTGTCCTGGAATAAAATGGGGTGTTCGCCTCAACATCCCTACAGAAAGATACCAAGGAAGAAGTAAGCAAGAAAAAAAGAACCAGAGTAAAATTGCTCAGTAGCAAACATTAGAACTAGTTTGTTTGTAATTCAGAGCAAATCTTAAGGTTTTTGATGAAAAGATCCCTGAGGAGAATTCCACTTCTCTACAGTACAGATCTATTGACATTCCTAGTGTTTGCCTGCTATTTGGTATAATTTGTATTTCTTCACAAAGGAAAAATTGTGTTTTGGGGTCGATCCTAATTTGAACCTGTATGATCTTTCTTATTCATCATCTCTCTGAAAGTGAAACTTAAAAACATCAGGGTTTTGTTTAGTTTTGTTTTTTAGTTGTATTTTCCATTTGCTTCTGAATTATTATGTGGATGTTTATGTGAGGTATAAACAATGACAAGCAGATTGGTGTTTTTATAATATTGATTTCACTTTCTTTCTCTTTTAGATTGTGATACAAGTTCCATCCCCTGGTGACAGTAGTGGTTGGCCAGATGGCTATGAAGATTTAGAGTCAGGCGATAATTGGTTTCCAGGAGATATGGATGAGGGCGATATTTCCTTCCCCAGCCGGCCTGAAGTTGTGGTGGTAGGTGTTTGTTTTCAGTAGGTGGTTGGTTTTCTTTAGGGACTATCAAAATATAAAGCTGAATGCTAAAGGTCAAAGCTCATAAAGCTACAAGACCTTCACCCTCAGTAAACTATGGTTTATCACCACATGTTCTATTTTGTTTTCAGTTCAATTGCAGCCTGCAGCAGGTGGGAAGTCCCACCCGCTTCCAGGACCCACGCGACAGAAACGTCTCCTTGAACATGGAACTGTACCACACTGACCTCTTCCTAGTGCCTGTTCAGGGACTCTTCTCTGTGGCAGAGAATGGAAACGTTTATGTTGAGGTGAGAACTGAACCTTAGCCTTGAGCTGTAGGGTTTGCATTGAGCTGTGGTTCCTGGGATTAGCTGAAGAACCCAGGAGCTGCTCTGCAGTGTACTTTTTCCTGCTCATCTTCCTGGCCTTCGGCAAGCTCTGGGTGTGGGCTTGGTCTTGAAACCTCTTCTGTTTGATTTCTGACCAGAGCAGGCAATTTCAGAACTGGCAACATGGTGCTCAATAAAGACAGTGTTTTGTAGATGAATGTTTTCAAAAAGAATTGGCAGATGGGGAATTCTGCTAAGAAAGCCCTGCCCTTGCTTTGCCCTCAGCATTTTTTAAACAGTGCTTCAGTAATGGCACTGCCAGCTAACCATGGACTGTGTTAAATCACTATGCATGTTTTAGTTTAAACTGTGCTCACTTTTGAGATCATGACTGTGTGCTACCTTATGTCATGAACATTTTTTCCTAGATCATTATCTAAATGCATGTTGTTGTTGTTGTTGTGCTGTCGAATCATAACTGACTCATAGCTGACCCTCCTGCAGGTTTTCAGAGGCAGTAAATCTCAGAGGAGACTGGTCATGAAGTGACACACATAGGACAACTCTGTTGCTCTACATGAGCAGCGTCGACATCAAGAGATTTTGGAAGCATAATTTTTGTTTCCTGGGCGGTTATTCCCAGTACCCTTAATTATTAAAAAAAAAATTTTTTTTAATTTCCTATCTTCTTTTGACAAAGCTGCCAATTCAAACCATGTGCTTTCGATTGGCAGCACAGCTCCTTACCACTGGGTCACCAGAGCCCCCTAAGTGTTGTAATAATGAATTTAATTGCTAGATTCATTAATCTAATAGATTCCATGACTTTAAAAAATATTATTTTTATCCTTATTTTATGGGTGAGGAAAATGAGGCACTGATTTGCCCAACCAAGGTCACACAGCAAGTGCTATCATTTATCTTCAAAGTGTCAATCTAAAGGGGGAAAAACATAACCTCTTAACAGTGTAAATATTGAGATTCATAGATTGGATGCTAGAGAAGATAAATTTTCTTATGGCACCAGGATGTCTGTGTTTGCTGTGCCCTGGGCACAACCTTTAGTGTTTCAATTGGGTGTATTGTCTTCTGTCCTTACAGGAAAGCCATCATCTGATGAGCTAGTTTTGGTGCTGAGCTGCAAGCTGGTTTCTACTGAGCTTCATGGAGCATGGGATGGGAGGTGGGGGAGGAAAAGCTTTTGGACTCAAAGTAAGATACGTCCATACGTTAAAACTGACTTCAGTGAACATGTCTCTGTTTTAGGAAGACAGAGTCCCACGTTCGTACTGACTTTGCTGGCTCTAAACACTGTTTTCTTCAATCACATGAATTCTGATCCCACACTTTTTGGTCCCCTGTTCCTAAACATCTCTTTCTTTGGGTGCATCTCTTTTTTTACCTGAAGGAAATATGCTCTTTCTATATTCAGCTTCTACCCAATTTAGGTGATCGCTCCTAAACCAATATCATTCTTTTGTTTTTCCAACTACGCAGTTCACATGTGCAATTGATAAACAGTTTGTGCTGTGCTGTGGATTTTAGGAGTTCTGGCTAAGTGCAGTTTGTTCTTTTGCAAATGTGTCTGGCTTTGCTAATTTATTACTTTTCTGGTTTGTGTTAATTGATGGCCCAGCTTTCTCAAGTAGCTTACCCTAGGTGTTTTGGTTTTTCTCCCTATCTCCAGTACTGCCTTGCTTGAAATGCATTGCAGGCATACCTCAGAGAGAATGTCAGTTCAGTTCCAGACCACTGCAATAAAAGTGGTATCACAAACAAAGCAAGACACCCAAGTATTTTGGATTCCTAGTACATATAAAAGTTATGATTACAGTGTTCTGTAGACTATTAAATGTGCCGTAACATTATGAAAAACATTGGAAATAGTGTAAGAATTACCAAAATATGACACAGAGACACAAGATGAACACATGCTGTTGGGAAAAAATGGCACTTGATAACCTTGCTTTCCACAGAATCGCTGCAGCCCTTTAGTGTATTTTTTTTTAAAGCAGTATCAACGTAGAACAGTAAAGCGAAGCTTAAAAAAAAATCCCAACTATGCTTTATTTTCCAGTTTGTATAATTTTCTTTTTTATTTTCATAGTTAAATTTAGTCAGTGATGTTGTCAACTGATGAAAACAGAAATGGACTAAATCTTTTTCTACCATTTTTAATATCAGATATATTGGAAGAGAATTTTGGGAGGGAGCCGTTTTATAAACTGTTCTATTTTAAAGTTGTTTTAAACAACTGAAATATGAGAGAGACTGCAATGTTTTCACTGAATAGGACAGCAACCATGCCTAATGACTGTTCCCCCGTTTGACCCCACTGTTCTTAGGAAAATTATTTTACTTGTTCTGAAGAATTATTTCCAGGTGTTGTCTTCTAGCCATTATTCTTCCTCACACCCCCTCTCAGAATCTACTGTACCCCCACTTTTTTTTAATATGGAACGCCTCACAAATTTGCGTGTCATCCTTGCACAGAGACCATGCTAATCCCTTTATCGTTCCGATTTTAGTGTATGTGCTGCCGAAGCAAGCATGTCTGTTCCTTATAGACCACAGCTCCCTCCCTTTAAGACAGATGATACCTCAGTGTTGCCAAATGATTTTCAGTTTTGTGGGTGGTAAATGGCCACATTATGGCATATTTCCTTTTAGTTCTTTTGTCACTGGAAAGTTAAAAATTTATAACCAAAGTAATTTAAATGTAGTGTGTTGCTGCTAGTAATAGCTGGCGTTTATTGAATAGCTGGAAACTGTGTGTTTGTATGTAACTTTCATTTTACTCATTCTCAGAATAAGTGCATCATGTAGGTATTAATGCCCTTGATCTCTCTGTGGGAGAACAGAGGCTTAGCGTCCCCAGCAGTGAACTGGAGAGCGTGAGATTTCCTGGGGTTGTCTCAGCCCAAAGGCTGCAGTTCTGTCACTCATCTCCAGTTCATTTTAGAGGAAAAGATCGTTGCCAAAATACATGCTTTAAAACAATTTTGAGGGATTCTATTAAAATGTCTCTTACAAATTAGACTTTTAACTGCGTTTCTCTTAGAAATTCTTATTATAACATGCTTTCTCTGGATAGAAATACTTGTAGTTCTGTTATACATTTTTAAACATAGGCTTTGAGTTGTTAAAGGACACTTTTTTAGTCATAGGATGTGTGTGTGTGTGTGTGTGTGTGTGTGTTCCCTTCAAAATAAACTGATTTATCAGAAATAATTACAAAAATAACATCACTTCTTAGTTCGTACAGAGTTCTCCCCAAAGCCACGTGATGGCCTTGGTTGAATTAACCATGTAGCTACAGTGAATCAATAAAGGGAGAGGTAAAGTGGGTCTAGAAAACCTAAATTTGAGCCTTGGTTTTACTTAGTACTTGTTGTATATGATTTTGAGTAAGTCTTTTATCCCATGTGTTCAATTTTTCTTTTATTTATAAATGGAAATGAAAAGTTCTTTCTCATAAGATTGTTCTCAGAGTAAATGTTGTTGTTGTTGTTATGTGCCGTCAAGTCACTTGCAACTCATAGCGACCCTATGTACAACAGCCCTAAACTCCGCTCTGTCCTGTGCCAATCGCATTGTCTCTGACACTCCCACCCCAGTCACTGAATCAATCCACCTCATAGAGGGCCTTCCCCTCCTGCGCTGTCCCTCCACCCTCCCAAGCATGATGTCCCTCCCCAAGGACCGGTCCCTCCTTACAACATGTCCAAAGTATGTCAGAGGAAGCCCCAGAATCCTTGCCTCCAAGTAGCCGCCCGGTTTAACCCTTTCCAAGATGAATCTCTTTAAGGCACTCCAAGAAGCTGTTGTCATAATCATCTTCATCAGCACTCTTCTTCGTCATCATGGTTCACGGTTGATTTTTCTCTAGTTAAACTCATAAGCATTCTTCACCATAGGGCTTGAGGACTCAGAGTCTCTTAGGATATCACAGATTTCCCCTGAGTATCTCAGAATGGAAAGTTTGTTTATATCCCCTTGCAATTTGAAAGTATTTTGAAGCTGTTGGCTTTTGGCTACATAGTAACTTTGTTTCTGGAGTATTTAAGTTTATTTTGATCCTAAATTTAGTTAAGGAATGAGACAGTAGGAGTAGGAGCCCATATGCCACAAATGCAGAATCCAGTCTAGACCAGGATTTTTAAGCTGAGTTCAGGATCCTTGAGGTTTGAATTCTGTTTACACTTGGCCAAACACTACTTCCTGTTTCTAAAGAAAAGAACCTTAATGAGTTTTGGACCTAGCCCATACAAGTGTTTTGTAAGAGGGAAGTGTAAATGAGTCAGAAATGTTTCCAGATTAGATTTCCCTTAAAATACTCTTGAGTTTGAAGAGTGAAGGGAGGAGAGAGTGTTTGGCCAGGACTAGTTTGGACCAGTAAGCATCTGGGACACTGTCCCTCGCATCTCACATCCAGCACCAAGGCAGCTCTGTCTGCCCACTGATGAATCTGTAGCTTTATTATAACATTTCAGGTTGAATAGCACACAAATTGTTTGCACTCAACCACTAATTGGCAGTTTGAACTTACACAGAAGCAAAGCCAGGCTATCTGCTTCTGTAAAGCCAAGAAACCACCTCCCCCCCTCCCCCCGCACCCCCTGCTGATGCAGTCCTTTCTGCTCAGTGACACCTTGGGTCCCAGTGAGTTGGTGCTGTTCTGTTTTGTTGTTCTGACTTGTCACAGTTTAGAAGCTTTGTCATCCCTGATTTGGTTTAAATAAATTCTGCACTTGTCCTTTTTTTTCTTTTTTAAAAGCATCTTTTAGAACTCTTCTTTTACACTGTTTTGACACTAGGGGCTTTGCCTTTGCCTTTGCCTTTTGGTGCTTTACTTATTTTGGAAAATTCACTTTAAGGGCCTGATAAACTTTTTCTTTTCATTACCGAGAAGACATAGAACACAGTTGAGGAGACTTACTCAGTTTCTGTTTGAATCTTTCAGGCTGAGATTTGAACTATATACTTCATTTTCACTATTCATATCACATTTAAATGGAAAAGATCTATTTCTTAAATTAATATATATTACTGTTGTACTCACTCAGAAGACTATGTTATGATATGAGAATATAGCTTTGCTCTCATCAGGACTGTGCCAGTGTGTTGTTACCTTTGTGCCAGAGTAAAAGTGAGATGCTAGCTTAAGTCTAACTCAGTCTTTCTGTTTGTTTATAGGTGTCCATTACTAAGACTGACCAAGAACTGGGTTTTGCCATCCAGACATGCTTTATCTCTCCAACTTCAAACCCTGACAGGATGTCAGATTACACCATCATTGAGAATATTTGTCCTAAAGATGAATCTGTGAAATTCTATAATCCCAAGAGAATACAGTTTCCTTTCATGCCTGCTGAGATAGACAAGAAGCGATTCAGCTTTATTTTTAAGTCCGTCTTCAACACCTCGCTGCTTTTCCTACAGTGTGAGCTAACACTGTGCACCAAAAGAGAAAAGGATCCCCAGAAGTTGCCTAAGGTCAGTGGACTTGCATATATTTGGCCTGTTATTTTGGTATTTTCAGATGAGACAGAGAACCTACTAGATAAGTTCAGTTGCACTTTAAAAGCAGTCCCCAACTCCAGGCTATACCCATTCATCTGACTTACCTACAGCTCATAATTATGAACCAGCCTCATAAAACTTATTATGTTAAAAGTTCAAGATACAAAGAATGGTTAATAACATCAACTTTATGATATGCATCAGCATGTTATTATTAATTACTATATTACTATGTTAAAGATATTTTAGTGAATCTGGAAGTGTTTCCTTAATATTTTTTTATGCATGGAAATGTATGCTATATACTAAGCTAGACATTTGGATGATGATAAGTACAAACTATACCTATTTTCTAGCTTACAAATTAGCCTTAACAACAAGTTAGGAGTGGAACTCGTTTATAATCTGGGGACTGCCTGTATTGCAAGTTGAGGTTTCTGGTTTGGGAACTGTTCAACTGAATTAATAAAACCTGTGTTATCAGGGACCTGTGAGTTATATGGAGTCTTAGAGAGTAAATCTTGACAGTATGATTTTTCCCCCCTCACACATGCTACTTAGGAGTACCTTACAAGTGATAAATCAAGTCTGTTTCCATTGAGGGAGAGAACTGGCTTTCTCTCTGCTGTTCAGGTACTGTGCAGTGCCAAAAATACAGAGAGCTGAAAGGACAAGTTTAATGTGAGGATTAATTTTTCCAGTCCCCATGGAGATTTGTATTGCAATTGTTTTTTGACCTTCTCTTTGTGAGTTATAAAGTTGACTTGTCTCTGGAGGACTTCTAGGGGAAACTAGCAAATATTTTAATTTTTCCCTGTTTGTATCATTTTATCCTGTTATCTTTGTTTTATTCCCCGTATTGAACTAGTACATTTTGTTGTCAGTCATAACACAAATCAGAACCATTTGACCTTGAGGTAAGGGGGAGGGATCCAAAAGACTATTTATGGTACCTCATTAAATCAGTCTTAGTATGATAAATGTTTTCTGCCTTAATTTTGTTTCTTTAATCTGCCTCTGTTGTTGTTAGTTATCATTGAAGTTGGCTCTGACTCATGGCAACTGTTCTGTTTAAAACAACAAAACGCTGCCTAGTTCTGTGTCATCTCCATAATTATTGATACGATTGGAATCTATCTTTACTGTTGTGGGAATTGTTCTAATCCATCTCATGGAGGTTTTCTCTTACTGTAGTAAATGTAATTTTATATGTGCATCTATACCATAGATATTACACATAAAAGATGATTTCTAATCCCATTATACTTACATCAGCATCCAAAAGTCCCAGAATCAAATTGTATCATTAAGCATACATTGTGTATGCTCATTTAGAGAATTTGTAAGTGATTGATGTAGGAGTCAGAAGAAAATATATTATAGATAGATTACCATCAGCCAGAATCCTTTGTACCATTGTAATCTCCTGGGCATCCATTTCTCCTATAATGCCAAAGCCAATTTTGTTTACATATGAAAAAAAAAGAGCAAATCTGATCGCAGTTGTTCAGGAGCTCATAAAATGACTGAGCCTGTGCTTGTTAGTTTGTTGTGCAGGGTTCTGCTTGTGGGTATTCACCTTCTAGTAACCATCAAGGTTGGGGTGGGACCTGGTGAACAGTGTAGAGAGCCCTGGGGAAATTCCTGCTTGTTTGTGGTACCCTGCTGCTTCTAAGCAGGTTAACGGGGTAACTTAAGAGGTAGAGATCTAGAAGAGGTTTCCTGGCAGTTACTGCAGGTCATCTCCCTGAGCCTGGCCTCAGCCAGCATCATTTTATATTATGTTAATCTGCAAACATTACTTTTAATCTCTCCTTCCAAAACTGTAGAGAGAGCTCTAAACAAGGGAATAACATAGGCTGTGACCCAGTCTGAACATGGCCATTTACTCTTCAGTACAATGAGATGTGGAAGGAGCATGGAAGTGGAGAAAGAAGGCCTACAACTTGCAACTTAAGCAAGGATTTGACCATGTTTTTTTAACACCTAAGAATGTCATCTCTCAATTCCTCATTACTTTTACTCTGTATAAAACTCAACTCATTGCTGTTCAGTCAGATCCACCCTCTAGTGGGCTTTCAGAGGCTTTCACACAAAAAGATTGCTCACCTTTCTCTTTTGGAGCATCTGGCAAATTCTAAATACCTGCCTTTGACTTGGCAGCACAACTCCTTACCCATTGGCCACTGAAGTTCTTCTATCCTATATGTTGTAGTTGGCCAATTAATAGGATTTCAGAGGCTACAAATCACATGGGAGGAGATTGCCCATCTTTTTCTTTTAAAGCACCTGGTATATTCGAACTGCACGTCTCTGGGTCAGCAGCTCAGCTGCTAGGCCATAAGAGCTCCCTATCCTGTGTAAAGGAGCAATTTAGACAGTAGACATAATGACAGTTTGCTGTTAATAGTGCAGTGACTTAGAATGATCTATTTCTCTGTTTCTTTTTTGGTTTTGATAGTTAATATTTCTAGTCTTAATGACTTCTCAGTGCTTCTTATGAAAATAAGTAGAGCCAAAGAATGTTCCAGGATGAAATCTCAAAGGGAAATTTTCTCATCCAGAGTCACTTAGATAGTAGCTAGAGATACACTCATAAACTTAGTGAAACTAAGTGAAACATTAACAGCAAATTTAAGAAGAGACTTTTCATGAAATCATTTACTAAACATTACCTCTCCACAGAAAAGTCATTGTTTACTTCTCCAAGAGGTTTTATAGTGAAGGTTTTTCCATTTTTGAGGAGTGAGATAGGTGAGTGAGATTATCTTATGTATGTGTTGGACTTGCACATTGGCCAGAATATAAATCCAGATATTTTTACTTTTCTATGATAGGTATGGCTAGAAGTTAATCAACTTTTGAGGGTACCTGGCTATGTTGTTGTTGTTATGTGCCATCGAGTCGTTTGCGACTCATAGCGACCCTATGTACAACAGCCCTAAACCATGCTCTATCCTGTGCCAATCGCATTGCCTCTGACACACCCATCCTGATTACCCCAGTCATTGAATCAATCTACCTCATAGCGGGTCTTCCCCTCCTGCACTGTCCTTCTACCTTCCC